TTTTAAACTATTTTTTTTGCATTTGTTTGTTCTAATAATTTCTAGAACATTGTATTGGCATAACTGTATGATACTATAAAATCTCTCCCCCCAAATTAAAGCTAAGTAACCAATTATAATCCATCTTATTAGTAAATTATAATTCCTTCACAATATGATACCCCAATTTTAGTATAAGTCTACCCCCATCAGAGTTAGGCCTCATCATTACACAAGATTAAAGAGATTATTGAAAGGATAGTTAATATTTTGAATCTCATCACTTGTCTTTCTTCCTTATAGAATATTTTCTTCAAGTCTCTGAGCATTTGGTTATTGGGGATGGATGTCTTTTAAAAGTTTCACTGTGGTGGTTACCAGAGGCTGGGGAGAGTAGGGAGGAAGGAGAGGGATGGAGACATGTTGGTCAATGGGTTCTAAGTTACAATTAGATAGAAGCAAGAAGTTCTGGTATGCTATAGCACATTGGGGTGACTATACAACAGTAATGTAGTGTAAATTTCACAAAGTTAGAGGAAAGGATTTTGAAAGTTTTCACCAATAAGAAATGATAGGAGGAGAGAGATATGTTTAACTTGATTTAAACATTATACTATGCTTACATGGTATATTATATACATTATACAACTCATTAATGTAAAATTCAGCATCCATGAGAAGGTAAATGGGGACTTATTAATAAGCCAAATATATCAAAACATTACATATACAATTTTTATGTTTTGTCACTTAAAATAAATTTTAAAGATAAATAAAATTTCCTTCAGCTCAAAAAATGCAAATAAAAGACAAATGAGACTTTACTAATACTTTAGTCCACAGAGGGCACCTTAGCATAGACCAGGTACCTAGGAGCAAATGTAAGAAATGCAGAAATCCACCTACAAGAATGGAGGAACAGAAAAGGTAAACTGAGTTTTTACATTGTTTTATTATATTCCAGGTCATAATGAGTTGTGGTTACTAAGATAGCTTACATGATAATCTATGATCATTCTTCAAAAGTTTGGAGGGAAATAAAGTATAAATTGTTACACAGACATCATTGTCAAAGCTGAGTTTTGAACATAAGCCCCTGGGAGTGAAATATGTGCATCTGCCAAGGTCTCTTAGAGAATGTAAATGGATATCAATAATGACTCATAGTTACCTGAGTTAAATTCACAAAAATTGTTTCTTATATGTTTCCCC